GGTCCAAGCCTCAGAGGGAGAGAAGAACTGCTGGACCTGATCCCCTTCTCGCAACCATTCCCTTCTCCTTTTGTGTCATGTCTTTTTAGAATAAACCTGAGGGCAGGGGACAATCTAAATAACCATTTGTAAGACGCTCTGAGAGACTTTGCAGCTGTAGAGCAGGATATAAATACTGTAAATAACAACAACAACAATGATCTAAGATATATAGATGATACCATAATGCTAGCAGAAAACCCCAAAGACCTGGAACAGCTAGTAAGGAAGATCAAGAAAGAAAGTGCAAAGGCAGGCTTAATGCTGAACTTAAAGAAAACAAAAATAACGTACACAGTGGATCTACACAAATTCAACCTAGGCAATGAGGACATAGAAATAGAGGAGTTCTTATATCTTAGATCAAACATTGATCAGAACAGAGACTGCAGCCAAGAAACCAGGAGAAGATTAAGAATGGGAAGGGCAGCTATAAAAGGACTAGAAAAGTTCCTAAAAAGCAGAGATATACAACTGAATACAAAAGTTAGAATCGTACCAGCAATTGTATTTCCCATTACCATGTATGGGTGCGAGAGCTGGACAGTTAAGAAAATGGACAAGAAGAGAGTTCAAAATTCCTTTTAAATGTGGGTCTGGAGAAGAGTGCTGAGGATCCCATGGACAGCAAAAAGAACAAACAAATGGTCCTAGAGCAGATCAAGCCTGAATTTTCCCTGGAGGCAAAGATGATTAAATTGAGGTTGTCGTACTTTGGCCACATCATGAGAAGGCATGAATTGTTGGAAAAGACAATAATGTTGGGAAAGGTGGAGGGAAGTAGAAAGAGAGGGAGACCACATGCTAGATGGATGGACTCTATTAAAGAGATCACCGAGTATGAGTTTGCAAGAAGTTAGAAGAATAGTGGAGGATAGGGAGTCTTGGGGATGTCTCATCCACAGGGTCGCCATGAGTCGAGATCGACTCCAGGGTGGTTAACAACAACAACAATCTAGCATATGTTTTCCCATAAAGCTCAAGCATTGTGTGTTTTTGTGCATTTGTAAATATTCTCTTTGGCAGGGTTTTTTTTTTTAGATGGGGGGTTTTGTTTTATAACTATACTTGTTACAAGTGGGAATCATCAGCTCAGCAGATGTTGTCCAGCAAAAGCATCCCATCAAAGTGCTGCTGCAAATCAGGGCCAAACTTCCCGCTCTCTTCTGTCATGTTTTTAAAAGCCAAAGAACTTGCCTCGATTAAAATCGACTTAGCAGATGTCAAACGTTAATACCAAACTTTCAACAGCTAAAAAGCGAGTGAGTAAACACAGCTACATCTCGCTGACCAAAATCACAGCTGCTAAACTACGCATCCGAGTAAGAAAAGGAAGGGAGTGGAATGAGATTTGAGCACAAGAGATCTTAAATTCCTCTTGCTTAAGTATGTGCAGCCTTTAAACAATTTTGGAGGGTGGAATAAATTTTATTTCGTCAAAAGGGTTAATCTGAATTCAATCACAAAGCCACAAATACTTCCACTGGAGATAAGGAATTCCTGGCTTCTTCCAAAACCAGAGCTTGTCACAATGCTGACTGTACGGTGGTTACTTGCTATCCGCTTTGGTTTGGTTCCTCCATAGTATCAAAATCCATGGATGCTCAAGTCCCATTAAATACAGTGGCATAATGAAACAGTGTCCCTTATACAAAATGGCAAAATCCAAGGTCTGCTTTTGGGAATTTATATGTACTTTTAAATATCTCCAAACCGTGGATGCTTGGATTAAAAAATCTGTGGATACAGAGAGTTGACTGTATTTGGTTTCTAATAGCCTGCATAAGGAAGAAGATTTCTCATGAGAAAATAAAAATAAAAATCCCATGGCTTTCTGTGCAAAGAGGAATTGCAACTGATACCGAAACTTACAAACAAAACAAAAAAGTGGACTTCTGAGGAAGAACACAATGCTTGCTTGCAAGTGATGCAATCTTCAGGGTGTACATGCAGCACCAAACACTATGTTTTGTTTTTGCAGCCTTGGTGGAGAACTGTAAGTCAACCTCATGTATAAGTTGAGGGCAAGTTTGGGGTCAAAATTAAGGATTTTGACTTAACCTGTGGACATGCTAAGCGTAAAACTTAGAGGCATGCAACAAAGGATGTAAAGGACAAAGTAAAGGAAAATGATGCCAAAGAACTTACAAAATTCAGGCAGCCGTAACTGTTTGTGTATTTAATAGGACTCGAGCATCCACGGATTTTGGCATCCACAGGGGAATACTGGAACCAAACCCCAGCTGATACTGAGAGCCCACTGTGTCACTAAATGTAATGGCAATAGGTGTGACACAAGCAACTAGCAAAATTAAAATTATACCCTTAAATTAGAATTACAATTTAAATTGCACAGCTGGAGAGCATTTATACGTGCATAGCTTCAGGAAGTTAAAGTGAAAATTTGGTAAGATGTGAGGGTTTCTTAAGAATTTTTTTTAAAAAAATTGTTTTTGTTTTTTGTTAAAAAGAAATTCACGAGCATAATGTTAATTTTTTTGATTTATTCTAAAGGAATAATCCCATGAAACAAGGAAGTCATTTTATTTGATGTTGTTTGCTTGCTTGTTTGCCCATTTATGTTGTCAGTAGTTATGTCTTTAAGTTTTTGTCCTTAATGTTTGTTATATATTTGAAACAATAAAGATAATAATAATAATAATAATAATAATAAAGATTTTTTTTAAAAAATGTAAATACACTTTTTTGAAAAAATTAAATTTGAAAACTTAATTTTTTACAAAATACCTGGGGCCTCTCCTTTCTCTTCCCACTGAGCCTCACCACATCTCTTCCCCTGAGTTCCAGCATTTTAAAGGGATGCAAGTGAACATCACAGATTGTTTCTACCCAAAGGCAGATAGATGTCTGGTGGACAGTGGTGGCACCCCTTCTTAGGGGTCTCCTGGTGCTGTCCGCATTCCCCGCACCCCCTTAGTGACGCCCCTGTCTCAAACTTGTACAATTTGGTCCCTTGAGCTGGATTGCATGCAGATGTTCAAAGCGTGCTCTCTTTTTCGGAGTGAGTCGGAGACCTGTTCCCCAGCACCCTCCACCAGAAAAAAAAGCAGGGGCCCTTTCACTCTGCAAAATTATGCCAATGTATTCCACACTGATGAGAGCCAGTGTGGTGCAGTGGTTTGAATGTTGGACTATGACTCTGGAATCCGGAGTTCGAATCCCGGCTCAGCCACGGCGACCCACTGGGTGGCCAAGGGCAAAACACATGCTCTCAGCCTCAGAAGGCAATGGCAAACCTCCTCTGAACAACCCTTGCCAGGAAAACACCATAACTTTAGACAAATTCCGAACGTAGAATAAAAAAATGAATTTATTAAACAGATGTTCAGCAGAGAGTACAAGATTACTTACTTAACACATCTAAATCATGACTCGCTGTTAGACTGCTGCCGTGCTGCAAAATTAAAACAGTCTGACACCACTTTAACTGCCATGACTCCAGGCTATGGAATGCTGGTATTTGTAGTTTGCTCTGATGGGGAAAGCTAAATATCTCACAAAACTACAAATCCTGGCATTCCATAGCATGGAGTCATGGCAGTTAAAGTGCTGTCAAACTGCTTTATTTCTGCAGTGTGGCAGCATAAATAAGTAAGTACGCAAAGGGATCTTGTAGCACGCTTGAGGCTACCTGAGCAAAAGAAGTTGTACTATAAGTTTTCGTAGGCAGTCTACGATAGCTTATGCTACGTCTTTTGCTGAGTTAGCATCAAAAATGTTACAAGACCCCTTTGCATTCTGATATTCCAGACAGCTATGTCACTCAATCCTAACTGAGTAACTCTAATTCACATCTCTCTCATATTCCTAGCTGAATCCAACTAACTGCTTTCTAACTAAGGGGGGGAAGCAGACGGCGCAAAGGGCCGTTTTGGGGGCAAGGAAGAGGAGGGGCAGCCGCACGGTGGGCGCCCCAACCCCTTCCCGAAGGCATTGTCGGAGCGCCGGGCCCTCTGCACAGCTGGCACTCCGACGATGCCTTCCTGCCGCAACGTCCGCAAACGCTGCGGTGGAAGAGTTACCGAAGGTGCGCCGCCAGCCTTTTGCGGCGCACCTTCGGTGACTTGTGGAAGGAGCGCTATTTTAGCGCTCCTTCCAGGGGCGGAGAAGCTGCGCCGTGAGGCCAAGGTGTGGGGATACCTCGGCCCCACAGCGCAGCTTCCCAGGGCGGCCCAGGGCCACCCGCCTGCTTCCCCCCTAAGCCCTTGCCTTTCCCCAGTCTAACTCTAACCCTGATCTATCCCTTTCTGTCTCTTACCCTCTAACAACCCTTCTAACCCCTTCATACATTCACCAGCCATTCCCAACATCCCCTCCTCTCCTCCCCTCCCAAAACACATCTACTTTATTACATATACTATAAGTCACATATATAACCATATTTTACCTTAATTTCTATAATAAACACAATCACATTTCCCCCCAAAGTCGAGAACATCACAGCCCCTCTCTAAACTGCAGATCCCAGGATGCCATGCCAGCTGAAGTGGAATTAAGAGTGCTATAATTGTGCCGTGTGAAAGGTCCACTGATTATTTGGCCCAGGCACCCATATTCAACTGCATCTCCCATTGCACAGGCCACCCAGCTGTGGATGATGGGAGCTGCAGTCCAACACATATGGAGAGCACAGATGGGGGAAGGATGAGCTAGCCTAACCTTAACAGGTCCTCTGCAAGAACCTTTCCACTCAGCCTGTCACTGCTGAGGATAATGGGAGCTGTAGTCCAACACATCTGGAGAGCGCAGAGGGAAAGCTGAGCTAGCCCTCAGCAAGAATTATATATATGTATGTATGTATTTCACGGATTTATATCCTGCCTTTCTCCCACAATGGAATTCAAGAACCTTTCTGTTCAGCCTGTCAGTGCTGAGGATAATGGGAGCTGCAGTCCAACACATCTGGAGGGCACAGGTGGGGGAAGAATGAGCTAGCCTAAGCTTACCAGGACATCTGCAAGAACATTTCTGCTCAGCCTTTCACCGTTTTCCCTCCTGTGATATTTTAGCATTGGCATACTACATACACAACAATAAAAAATACGACTGACTTAGAATCTGTCCCCAGAGGAAAAATCAGACTGTGCAAATCTAACACACAGGCTTCCATTAATTGTTCCACTGGGTAGAAGGGAAATTCCGCTCCTTTAAAATTAAAAACATACATGCACACACAAAAGATATGATTTTAAAAGCTATCAAAGCTACCCTGCGCTTGCTAAGAGAATCAGCCAAGTGCTATGGTTTGAGTACAATAGGTTCAGATATCACATAATGCTGTATACAGGTTGGGTCCGAAATGTCTTATCCGAAATGTCTGGAACCAGAAATGTTTTGGGTTTCAGGTTTAATTTACTTATTTTTTGGATTTTTGAATATTTGCATATACATAGTGAGATATCTTGGTGATGGGACCCAAGTCTAAACACTAAATTCATCTACGTTCCGTATACACCTTATAAACATATCCTGAAGATAATCTAATACACAATATTTTAATAATTTTGTGCACGAAAAGAAAGTTTGTCTGCACCGAACCATCATAAAGCAAAGGTGTCACTATCTCAGTGACTCGTGAAAAATGTTGGATTTTGGAATATTTTGGATTTCAGAATTCCAGATAAAAGTGAATCTACCTGAATTTGGAAAACTGGACATCAATCTAGCAATATTCAATTTACTAAAACACTGCATTGTAAATTTAAAGAAGGGTGAAAAATGGATCTTCCCCAGAATCCTACTGCTCTGCATTTTTCAACTGCATTTTGAAAAATGGATTCCCTTAAACTGCAAACTAGGAATAAAATCCAACAGTGAACATATCTTTGCTTCCCAGTTATAGCAGTTTGATACCACTTTAACTGTCATGGCTCCATCCTTCAGTATCCTGGAATTTCTAGGTGGCATTCAGAATTCCCTGCTAGAGAACTCTAGTGCACTCCTCTGAACTACAACAGAGAGTTCTAAGTACATCACCTAGCTACAGATCCCAGGATTTCGCAAAGTGGAGCCAAGATAGTTAGAAGCAGAACTAAAATGTTAAAGGTGTGTACATTCGCTGGGATTAGGGGTACAGGATCCTCATGAAAATGGAGAAACCGCAAGTAAGAAAAACACTAATTTTTTACCCTCAGAAAACACCTCCCTAGGAATCTTTAAATCCTCCAGCACAACTCTATGATCAACATCTGTCCAAGGTTGACCACAGAATAGCAGCGGAGGATCTAAAAATGGCTAGAGAAGTGTTCTCTCTTGGAATCTCTAGGTCCTCTGGTGGACGATGACCACAGAATCGTGTTGGAGGACCTAGATATTCGTGGAGGTGAAATATTAATCAAATCTGTGAATAGCCAAATATGCAAACGTCAAGGACACAAATATGAAAGGTCAACTGTAGATACAGTCAGCCGTTCGTATCCATGGGAGCTCCATTCCAGACCCTCTTGCAGATGCCAAAAACTGCAGGACCTCAAATCCTGTTGGTTTTAATGGCAGCGCAGTTGCATGCACATGCCGCCATTAGAGAAAATGGGACAAGGCAATCTACAGATGCGCGAATCCACCAATGGTAAGCCCGTGGTTGGGGCGGGTGGACTGTATATTTGGCATGTATCTAAAGCAGGGGTAGGCAACCTTTCCCCTTTAAGGGCCGAGGGACTTCAGCTCCCAGAATCCCAGGAGCTATTGGCCAACATGGGACTATTGGCCAACATGGCTGAGGCTTCTGGGAGCTGAAGTCCCTCGGCCCTTAAAGGGGAAAGGTTGCCTACCCCTGATCTAAGGGATTGTCTTTAATTAGTAGGACCCATCGGTTTCATGGAATCATAGAATTGGAAGAGACTACAAGGGCCATCCAGTCTAACTCCCTGCCATGCATGTCTTTAACATCTAGCTGGTATCTAGCAATTCCAATAACCCTCCTGTCCAGCCAATCCCAATTTACACTCGGCTTCAATTAACAGAATGGGTCACTACTCTGTGATCAAACAAACTACCTGTTTCATTATGGGATCATAAGTTTGCGTAATGCCCCATCCAGACTGAAACAGAAGAGAGAAGTTTCTCCCAGTTCTCAAGAAATAAAATCACCCAGCAAAAGACATCTTTAACAGAGTTTTGAAGTAGCACTTTACAAGAGAAATAGTTACCTAAAATGCCTTGCCTTCTTTCTGCTAATGAAGCTGTAATTAAGTCAATTTTTAAAGATATTATCTTTAGTGGGAATGACAGGGAGCTTACGGTTGTTTTGTCATAATAAATTACATATCAAAGCTATTTTAATGGGCATTTTTATGTATTTGGAACTGAATTTTTCAAACTTAGTGCCATTTTCTTATCAATCACATTTTTAAGTACCAGAAAAGTAATTTATAAGTACAGATTGAGTCCCATGCAAGCAAAATTACTGTATATACTCATGTATAAGTCTAGGAATTTTAGTCAAAAAATTGACTCCCAAAAAACTGCATCAACTGATCCATGGGTCAATATAAAAAAAGAACCATCCCCTGGTGAAAGGCAAGAGTGTAATTTGTCTTGGAAGCACTGACACTCACCCCTGTATTCTCTCAACCATCAAGCCTTCAGTTATGCCTGCTGGAATTTTGTAAGTTCTTTGGCATCATTTTCCTTTCCTTCATCCTCTATACCAGGGGTAGGCAACCTTTCCCCTTTAAGGACCGAGGGACTTCAGCTCCCAGAATCCCAGGAGCTATTAGCCAACATGGGACTATTGGCCAACATGGCTGAGGCTCCTGGGAGCTGAAGTCCCTCAGCCCTTAAAGGGGAAAAGTTGCCTACCCCTGCTCTAAATCCTTTGTTACATGCCTCAAGGTTTTACCCTCAACTTATCCACAGGTCATATAAAGATCCATAATTCTGATCCCAAAACAGGCCCTTGACTTATACATGAGGTCGACTTATAGTTGAGTATATACTGTATGCTCAACATTCTGCAACACAGACTCCAACCATACATGGAGATAGACATCCCAGGGGTGCAATCAGGGTTCAGAAAAGGAAGGGACACTAGGGACTACATAGCAAATATATAATAGCTAATGGAGCACACTGAATAATTCAGTAAGAAAATCAGCATGTGTTTTATAGACTATAGTAAAGCATTCAATTGCATAGATCATGAAAAGCTATGGAATGCTCTTAAAGAAATGG